GCTCTGCGGGGGGACCTTCCAGCCGCCTCCCCCCGGGGTGTCGGCCGGGCGCCGCCGGTGGGCTGTGCCCCGCGGGGCTGTGCCGGGGGCTGCTGGCTGGAGGCGCCTGGGGGGCGGCCCGGGTTAGGCACCGCACCGACCCGGTTAAAGGACAGGGCCTGTGTGATCTGGAACCCCGTTAGAAGAGCTTATAATGTTATGGAAAGTTAAACTAGAGTTCCTAATGTTCAGACTGGGCTTCTAAAAGATTGTGACCTTATCGATGTTGCTTTTTCATACAATGCAGTGATGGCTTTGTTTTGGGGTTTTTTTTGGTGAAAACCTAGCTAGGCTTGTGGTAAAGGTACAGTATGTACCAGAGAGGGCCCAGTACTGAAGAAGTCTGCTTTTGGTATAGTTTTTCTTTATTGAAGAGCACTGGTGCATCTAAGTGTGCAGAATCCCTCCTCTCCTCACTGGTATGCATGAGTAGGTGTTTCAAAATGTATTATGTCTGTAGGCATTTAACATTCCACAGCCCACAACTATAGATTTGCAACAGTACATGTAGTCAAAGACTGTGTTTATGTACAGCCTTCTAGATTGTATATTTGAAGGTAGGTCAGAGCCTACAGTTAACTTTCAGTATTTAAAATGCAGAAGTTTTAAAAGCCTAATTTGGTTGCCAGAGAGGTTTCTTTGCCCAGGAACAGGACCGGCGGTCAGCTGCCCAACATCAGGGATGTAGTCTAGCCTGTTTCCAGAGGGTTGGGTAGTGCCCTTGTCATCAAAGCTGTTTCAGTAGTTTGCTTTGAAGCTGTCCTGTAGGGGCTCTTTTAGTTTGTTCAAGCAGATACTTTAAATGTGGAGAGACAAACTAACTTTTTAGTCTAGGACTCCCATATGAGGTTAGTTAGTTGCTGGTTTAGATCGCTTCTCTGAGTGACCCTGCTGAGTGTCTTAAAACTTCACTGACTGGGTCCCCTGACCATTTTGAGATCCCCAACTAGCAGTTTTTAATTCAAAAAATCGGAAGTCCTTTGTAAAGTATTAACAAATTTTTAGAAGTTATTAAAATTATTGAACATGTTAAAAATGAGAGGAAAAAATACTAAAAAGGGAAAGCATTTCCTTACCTAATAGTAATGTAAGACCTGTAATCCCTCAGGTATTTCACAAACAGACTGAACACAGGTTGGAATTTATTCACATTCATTGCGCAAGCATACCAGCAAAAAAGCTCATGCAGGCAAGTATTTCAAATGTATTGTTTGCAGCCGTGTGATAACTTGGCTGAGTGAGTTGGGCGAAAAAGAAAATCCTTGGTTCTTTCTTATATTAGTGTTTTCTCCATTTATGTACAAGTTATTTTCTCTAGTTATACAATTTCTGGACATAATACTATTTGAGACCCAGTTCCTAAACTTTATATAGTCAGTCAGTGTTATTCCAATAAAAAGATACATGATTGTATATGTAAAATCATCTGTATTTGTGTCTAGAGGATGAAGACCTAGCTATCTAAATCATCAGGTGAGGTGATTCTTGAGTGGAGGTTCCCAAGGGTTTTGGTGAAGCATCAGGCATTATGTTTTCATTTCCATTTCATTGTTTCTTTTGCTGCATTTTTTATCAGTTATCCTCCTTTTTAATTTTGTGGTGGACCAGTAGTTATTTCTGAATTCTTTTAAACCCATTTAGATACCTGTGGGATATTTTTGGTGCACAACATAATTACTACATGTTTTAAAGATTAGTTCAGATTTATAACTTCTGTATTTTGAGGCCTGTATAGTAGCTTCATTCATGGAACTCTTCAGGCAATTAGGTAGGGCTGTTAGATTTACCATTTAATAAAGGAACTGGAAATAATAAGAGTTGGTCTTTCCATGTGCAACACCAAGCTATAAAACATCTTTATGTTTTGTTTGGAGGAATATAAGAGGTGATTCTGAACTTGGAAGTAATAGCTGAAGATTCAAAAGGATACCTTTTTTAAGGGGGAAGAGATAGCTGTCAGGATTCTTGTAGTACTTTTTTTTTTTGCATGGGAGGGACAATGAGCAGCATTTACATTTCTCTGGTGCTCTTCAGTGCATGTGTAGTCTGCTTAATTTAGGGTATCCTAGGGAAGCTTGATAACAAAGCTGATAGTACCGTGGTAACCATTTGAATAAATTAATTGTATTTTACATCTGATGAAAAGGGTTCATCTGAGCGTGAATTGGGATATTTATGCTTTATGCAGATTACGCAAAATATGTTTTGTTCTTCTTGATAATCCTGAGGCTATTTATACTTGCATAGGCCTGACAGGTTTCATGTTAATTGCCTGTGGCTAGTTCACAGTATGGTGGTGTCTGTTTCTTTTTTTTTTCTTCATGGAAACAATGTCTGGGTAGACAAAAGCCATGTTACTGGAAATTTATAAAGCCTAAATGTTGTTTCATGCAGGTGTGATTATTATTATTTTTTTCATGGTATTTCCCAATCATTGAAAAGATCTGCACAGTGTGTGTCTTGAATGTCTGACTAGTCTGATTATTATGTACGCATGCCTCTGAAGAAGTATTTTCACCACTCATGCGCAATAAAGCCTCAGTGGTTTTGGTGTTGTTTTGTGGTTTTTTTTTTTTTAAATTAAATATTTTGGCTATGTGAAGAGTGGTAAAGATGGCAAGATTAGAAAAACAGACCCTACTGTAAGGCTTAAGAAGGCTTATCTCTAACTTTATTACAAATAAATAAATTCTAGTTTCAGTTACCAACCAGGGTGGATTAGGTCCTGTATAAAAGATTAATTACTGTAGCTGTTTTAAACAAAAGTCGGTGACTTAGCAGTAGTGCTTTATTTTGACCCCTTGCTGCATGCTGCACCAGTTAGGCACGCACAGCCACAGTGCAGTTCCACAACTGGCGGAAGCTAATATAGGTCTTGCTACTAAAAAGGAGATCTAACTCCCGTTCCCTCATTTTTGTTGTGGGCAGTGGCACTTCTGTCAGTTCTACTGATTCAGCTGGGACTACCTTGTTTTTTATGGTTGATTTTCAGCCAGATTAGCAAAATGAATTAACTTGTGGTAATACTGGTGTAAGGATGATGGCAGGGCAATCGAGTGGGGATCACCCAAACCCACACTTTTGTATTAGAAAAAGATTGGTTTAAGCTGATCATAAAGCTTAGATTGTGTTATTGTGTCAGAAAGTTGCAGTAACACAATTGTTTTGAAACTGATGGAAGTTCCATATAATGGGCAGATCTGACTCTGTACCGGTTCTGGCATTCATATGGGCATTGACCTGTGAAGACTGGTTTTCAGCCAGTTTTGTTTCCAGACCTCGTTTACTGCATGGTAGTGTGAGTGCTGGAGATAAAAAGAACAAAGGTGGGAGGGCAGGACTGTTCTTATGACAGATTAAAGTGTGATTGCAGGTGAAGATGGTTTCAGGTGTGTTTTGAAAACTGGGAGGGAGACTTGGCTGTCACAAGAGTTCCAGTGATCTAATGGATGGCCAGACATCATGCTGTTTGGTCTATGTTACTTTCAGTCACCTCATCCTGTAATAGAGGAAAGGGTATGTTTTGAATATTGAATGAATATTTAGTATTTGTCATGTCTATACCTTGGGCAGAGGGTGCCCATAAATGCAAGTACATCTTGCACTGTGTCTCCTATCAGGGTTACGTTTGTCATGTTGACAGAAACGTTTCAGTAAATGAGACTGTATTTTGGTGAGCTTTGGAAGGGCTTTTTGAAGCAGTTTAAAATTGTCTGTGGTTTCCTTTGGCTGTCAGAATGTGAATCTGTACCTTTCTAGATGCAATCTAAACCCATCATTTTTAAACTACTAGTGAAGGTGGTGAATTTTGTACTAGTATATCTTCAGAAGTGGGTGCTTGTTTCCTTGGTTGTACTGTGGGAGGTGTTAGCGCAGCAGAGGAGCAAAAAGAAGAGCGGAGTGGTAGCTTAAACCCCCACAGAATGGTTTGGTGGAGGTGGTCCTTTGATATCACAGGTGACTGCAACATTAATTACATTTTGTAAAGATGTATCTTAAATTGCTGAATTTTATTATGGTGCATGCTTCAGTTGCATTGTGCAGATCAGCAAGGTCAGTCCTTCAGTATCGATTATTGTTTTGGAATCCATTTATAGTTAATAACAGCTTGTAGCTGGCTTCTGGAGAATGGACTGAGGGATGCTATGACAAGAATTGAACATGACATGATAATGAATCATGGCATGTACTGCTGCCAACTGAGCTTACAGTTGTGGCAAGTGTATTAAGTCTAGAGCAACAAACATTTGTTGTTTTTCAAAACAAGCTAGGACTTGGATTGCTAAAAACACATTTTCTTTTACAGCCAGTTCCAAAAATAATCTGTTTACTGATGTTTCAGTATGGCCACTTTCAAATTTTTGCTTTAATATTCAGCTCTACAGGGTAGAGTTTTCCAGGGGGTGACTTGATTTTTTCAAGCTTCTATGCTTTCCATACGATAGATCACTCAAGGCCCACAGTTACTGAAAAGATTAAAGATGATATTAAGCATGCTGTTGTTAAACATGGATTTTGCATTGAAACATAGATTTTTGCATTAGATTTCAGTTGTTCTATTTGTATCTCTCATCTCTTGGCAGGTTTCTTCACTGTCCATCCAACAAGTTTTTCTTGTTTTGCTCACTTACTATAGGAAAGAAAATAGTCTGTTTAAAAAACACAAACAAACTATCTTATTTGTTAGTATATTAAAAGCTTTCCTTTAATTTGCATGTGAAATGACATAATATGGAACACGATACCCCTCTACTTTTTCCATGTTAACAGCTCTAGTCTTAAGAAATTTTTATGCAGACTGCAAGACAATTTTTTCTTAAATAAACATAGTTGTCTGAAAAGCAAAGCAGAAAAATACAAAACCAACTTTCCTTGAAGCCAATGTCAAAACTTTGAATGTCTCTGGAATTAATATTTACAAGGTGAAATCCTAAGAGAATCTTTGGTCAAAAAAGGCAGAATGTTTTTGGAGCATTTCCATTTTGGGAGGACATGAGAAATTTTGGAACTAATAAAGTGAGATTTAAAATTTGTCATAAATGATAATGACAAGAACAATTAAAATGTCATAATCCAAAGCAAGAGTCTACAGAAAGGTGCGAAGAGAAGTATTTAAAATAAGCTCTCTTGACAAAAATACAAATGTTTTGCCTAAAATAAAATAGCTGTGTCTCTCTTTGGTGAAAGACAAAATATCAGGATCTGACATAGCTTCTAGTGACAAAATGCAAACACAAGTCATCTTATTTTTCATGTCTTTTTGTTCATTGTACAGCAATAAATGCCTGTAGCTGTTACAGCTTTTGAAAGCCAGTGAATTAGGCTTCTGTGTTCTTAGAGGTGATAGTGGTTACTGGTGTAGTAGTATTCTATCAATTTTAAAGATTAAAAAAAATTATAGAATTCTTTCTTTAATTCCATTTTATACTTTTCTTTTTTAGCTCAGAAGATAAGATAACTGTTCATTTCATAAATCGTGATGGTGACAAACTAACAGCCAAAGGAAAACCTGGGGATTCGCTGCTGGATGTTGTTGTTGATAATAATCTAGACATAGATGGTTTTGGTAAGTAGAGCCGCTGAATACTGTATTCAATGTCTATAAACTATATTCTGTTACCAGCTTATTGATTAGAACTATTATTTATAATTAGAATTATTATTTATTGGATCATAGAATCATTTAGGTTGGACAAGACCCTTAAGATCATAAAGTCTAACTGTAAATGAGTATTTATTTATGAATTTATTTTTAAAACCTAGCTGTGCTTTATTTGGATTTTCTCCCCATTTTTTTTTTCCCCTGCAGGTGCATAGAGTATTTTGGGTGAAGTTCTAAAAAAAATATTTGGGGTGAGCCTTGCTTGATTGTTAAAGGAGGGGAGTGTGAACAGAGTGCTGTCAAGGTGGAGTCTGAAGATGCCACCTGCAGACTCTTCTGAGCTGAAAGGTTCTGGAGGCAACACAAAGCTGATGTATTTCTAACAGTATCTGGTTACTTCCCTATTGCCATACTGTCTCAATTTATTATCATTTTTGTAGCAGAAATTGCTGTCGTATTTGAGTGCTACACGAAAGAAACAACCAAATCCATGTCAGTTAGCAGGGAGGAGCAAGAAGTTTAATTCTTACTAAAGGACTAGGGTAAAGGAGAGCAGTGCCCTAGTGAAATTCTAACTCGGTACAAGTTCTAGTTAAAATCAAAACAGCTCCCCAATCCTTCAAATTTTTGCACTTTCCATAGTTAGTTCCATTTGAAGTTGGAGGATTCTGCCTGTGCAAAGAAGTAGTATTTGGTAATGCCAATTAAATACCTCAGGACAGATATTTACATGAACATGAGTTTAAGAATTAATAGTACAAACTAAAGCAGGAAGCAGAAGTACAGTTTGCACGGGTGAATGCATAGCATGGAGCAATTGGAGAAAAAAGGCTAGCGTAGCACAGTTTGAAATCTGAGGTGTGTTTTATTTAAATGCAAATAAATTTCACTGCTTGTAATACAATCTCTGGTAAGTCTTGAAATCTCAGGCTTATGTCTGAGGCATCTCATATCTAGAGTTGCAGACACCTCGGGAAGTAGAATTGTCTTTTAAAAATCTCTAACGCATTGGGATAACTAGCTTTATGTATCGCTTATTAAATGTGTCATATAGGCTTAGGGCTAGTCTGGTTGTATTCTACAGTAAATATTCTCTCAGCTTGTGTAAATGTCAGCCATGTTAAAGCATTGTGGTAAAGTAGGAAAAAAAATTAATGCTGTCAGTAAACTGAAACCAAACTAAAAATTGGAGGTACTGTAACAATCTTTAATTATAACATGTGCTAGCCTATTTCAACAATAATTTGTCAATGAAACATCATACTAAGGAAGAGAAATAATGCAGTGCAAATAATATAAAAACATATGTTCTCTGTTCAGAAAAAGAGGGGAAAAAATGAAAAATGTGGCTCCTACCTACTTCTGTCACTAGAGGGCATCCCATGTGCAGTAATAATGATAGAAATATCTTTATACAAAGACTTACAAAACTGTTGAATGATTCAGCTGCACTCAGTTTGTTTGCTGCTGCTAGTTTTACAGTTGCAGAGAGACCTTTAACTCTTCATATAGTCTGGTCAGTGTGTTTTGTGTTGTTTGTGGGTTTTTTTTTCCACTTCTCGTGTCACCTCCCCCTACATTAAAACACTTAAACTACTGATATGGTAAGTTTTACGTTATTTGGCAATTTATTTAAAATCTACTTTTTCACATGTGTTTGTGTACTTGACAATGTGTCATGCTCACTTTTGAGTATGTGCTCTTGATACCATTACAACATGTAACAGCACAGTGCTTTCTGTATGGTTCTTGTGGTCTGATGATGAATCGCGCTGTTTCTTTTCATAGCAGTGGTTATATGTGCAGCTTTGTTTCCATGTGAGTACAGAGGTGATGTGGTCACAATACTCTTGGTTCTGCTTTCCCTGGAAATGAGTAAATAAATGGAACTGGGCTAATGTCTTACCTGCTTCTCTCATCAACTTAAATCAAAGGTAGGGGGTTGTGTGCCCCAACCCCATTCTCCACATGAATATGAAGAGTTCAGCTTTCTCCTCCTCTTGAAGTTGTATGTTTCTTTTTCAACAAAGAGAGAACTCTGTGCGAGCCCCATACAGTGACAGAGATAAATTTGTTAGTGTTCAAACTTTTACTGTCTTGTGATTACCTAATTCCTCTAGCAGGTAGATGTAGTTGATGCTTGTTCTGTTCAACCCTAGCGAATTGGCTTGGGCTGGATTGCCTAGTAATACATGTAGGCCTCTAACACAGAGAAAACCATCTCTCTAGCTTGACTACCTTTGCTTTAAATTAGTGTTCTGTTGAGTGAGAAGAAATACCAAGTATAAAATCCCTCCTTCCTGTACTTCCGAGGAATATCAGGTGTTTTCTGCTGAACTGCTTAAGGAAACCTCAAAACCATGGGAAAGAGAGGGATAAAAGGATCATAAATAAAATAAATTATAATAACTATTTATAATTATAGTAATTATAAATAAGTAGTGTTGATTGACAGCATTGTCTGCTTTTGCATTCTTATAGTGAAAAACTTTTCTCTCTTTAAATAGTAGAAAGGGAATTAGTTAAGTATTTTCACTAACTACAGCATTCAAGTAAATCTTAGTGTAGGAACTGTAGAAATAGTATTGACAGTTGAATGCAAATAGATATGTGAATGTGAGAATGAGACAAACGCTTATATCACAGAATGGTTAGGGTTGGAAAGGACCTCTGGAGATCATCTAGTCCAACCCCCATATATGAAGGATTTCTTCTGAAGTACTGCTCTACTTTGAAAGTTGGATTTTCTGTTACCTTTATTTTTACCTTTATTTTTCTTTAGGTGCCTGTGAAGGAACGCTAGCCTGTTCAACTTGTCATTTAATCTTTGAAGACCACATATTTGAGAAACTAGATGCAATTACTGATGAAGAGATGGACATGCTGGACCTGGCATATGGCCTCACAGAAACGTAAGGCAACATAACAAACACTTCATTACACCAAAGAATGGAAAGAAGGGTTTGCAGATGGGGCAGTCCAGTATTCTTAGAATGCCTTAATCAGCTTTTAATGAATAGCTGGATTCTTTTACACAAATGGGACTGCCAAGTTTAAATATTGCTTATCTGAAGTCATATTAAAAAGACGTCAGTACTGTTTTTGTAACTGAAGAGTGGCAGTTACCAGTACTTGCTCTTCAGAGGTGTCTGCAGAAGTTTCAGATACAGACCAAAAACACAGTTCCTTCAACAAAAAATTTGCCACTGCTGTCGCATGTGAATTTTCTTATTCTTGTTTCCCTTCCCTTCTGTTTTCTGTCTCCATTAGTCTGTAGCTAGTTAATGTATTGTGTGACTCTGTTTACGTTAGTATTTTAGTTTCGGCCAGATCTTCTTTTCACAGAATCACAGAAGGGTTGAGGTTGGAGGGGACCTCTTGAGGTCATCTGGTCCAACCCCCTGCTCAAGCAGGGCCACCTAGAGCTGATGCCCAGGACCATGTCCGGACGGCTTTTGAATATCTCCAAGGATGGAGACTCCACAAACTCTCTGGTATTTATGTACATTGATAAGATCCTCTCCCGAGCCTTCTTTAGGGTAAACAGTGTCCCTCATGGCAGTGTCCCCACTTGTCATGCTTTGATTCATGTCAGAGTGCTCTTGGTGCACATAAGCCAGATTCCCTTTTGAATTAAACTAATCCCAAAGCGTGCTCTAACTGCTAATGGGCACTTCAGTGCATTGAATTAGACTAGTGGTAGCCTAAAGTACCCTTTGTTCTAAATCTTGCCCACCATCACACGCCTTATAATTACAGTGTCACATCGTCATCACAGACCCATTCCTAGTGGGCTGCACCACTTACTGTTGTACACATAGCTTGTATTGTGGAACATACCCACATGAACAGTAGGCAGTTACGCCTTACGGGGTTTTGCAAGTCCTTTTCTTCATGCTTCAATGGAATTGCTTTTTGAGGTTTTTGAGAATCTTTCCAGTGATGTCAGAGGGGTTTATACCTGGCCTGTACAGCATAGGGGGTTTTATGCTTCTGCAAAGAAATACTCTGAATTAACTTGTTTATCTCCTTACACCAGTAATGGGAATCCTGTACTAACCATTTCTATGCGAGGGCACTTTTTCTCACTTCAGCCAAATCTTAACTTTTCTGGGAGGTTGTGAAGGCAAAGTAGTCAAGCTACGAGGAACTTGTTTCAGCTTCTTTTGTTTTATCCCTTTTCCTGTCTCCCATAAAACATTGTAAAGCCTATTCAGTGTGAATTTACTTCGCCTTTACCGTCTGCTGTAGTTCTTCCAAGAGTAACTTTTAGGTTCTGGGCCAAACCAATTCCTAAATAGCTCTGGAGGCCAATGATCTAATAAAAAAACCTTTTTTCTTTGGTTATCTATTTAATTAAAGGTTTAAAGCAAGGAGTTTTTATTGAAGAAATGAAAAACAGTAGAAAGCCAGAGCTCTCGGGTTAAATATTTGTTATTTTTCTCTGAGTTCTTCAGACCAAGTTAAGTTTTAGACCCTCTGAAGACAGATGCTTGTTACTTCTGTCAGGTTTTCCTAATGTCATGTGTTCTTTTAGCCAGGGATCTTTCATGTGTGTGAGAGGATCACTTTTCTGGAAGACAGCTTTAAGTGACTGGTACTTGCTATAGGTTACCTGGTCTCCTGTGTTGATATCAACTTCTGTAGTGGAAACGCACTACAGTGCTCTGTCATGAGTATAAGGACAAAAGCTTTTTCTTGTCAGTGACTCTCTGGATTTGGGAAAATTTTAGCCAGCAGCTACCATGAAATCTAATGTGTTTTTTTTTTTTTTAAAATGAAGGACTAAGTAGAAAGGTTAAAGCAAAACTGTTTTGAATAACTGCAGAGCAGTAGAGATCATTAAAAAGTAGTAAGATAGCGGGGATGCAAACCCTAGCAAGTTAAATGTTAAAAAAAAGAATACTGAAGGGAAAAAAAAGATAAGCTGAGAAACAGCTTGCTAAAAAGTAGAAAAATACTTTTGTTTCTAACCTATCAGAAGCAGGAAACTTGTCTGCATGAAGAGCCAATGGGTGATGTAGAAGATGCACTTAAAATATAAAAGCAAAGTTTCTTTTGCATTATTGTTTCTAGACTGTTATGGGATGTCCATGCACTGGAAGGTTTCTTTGCAGAGGGCTTCCTGGAGTATCTGGCTCAAATTGATGTGTCCATAGAAGTAGTATCACAGCAAATAAGTAGAATGAGTAGGATGTGTCCATAGAAGTAGTATCACAGCAAATAAGTAGAATGAGTAGTAACAAGTGGTAATGACTAGGTAGCATTCGCCCAGGAGTTCCACAGAAATTCAATATCACATTGCTGAACTACTGTCTGTAAGGTGTAATTAGTTGGTTTAAAACTGCTTCCACATCAAAGGAACAGAAGATAACAACCCAACTTTGAAAATGAGTTCATTTGAACCGGAGAACAGGGAGTCTGATTCCATACTGGACATACTAGTCGTGTGTCTAGGGGCTGGTAAGGAAAGAATTCAACAGAGCTTTTGTAGAGGGAAGTAACAGATACAGCAACTCTTCAAAGGAGTCGCTGAGCATGACGAAAGATCTTGCAGTTCATGTAATTTACTTGGGTCTGGAAATTCTTTACTAAGTCTTGAGTTGCAATGGGTTAAGAGCAAAGGCTCTGTAAAGGATAAGTAATTGGTTATGTTACTTAGTGTGGTAAAATCAAAAGCTGTCAGTGAAGACATGCACAAGGATCTTGTGCCGTTGAGCAGTAGGAAATGAAATTTGGTGTTAAAAGCTGCAGGTAAATGCACATGGAGCGGTGGGTAGAACAGTGGTAGCTTTGCATACTTGAAATAGGCTGTCAGCTAGCTAGTGTCTTTCCAGGAATGTCAGCTTAAGGTTTTTGGTTTGTTTTGGGTTTTTTTTTTAACAAACAAACAAAAAAACCCCAACAAACCAAACACCACAAACTCCTCACACCTTCTAAAAAGTAAATGTAACATTGGCAATATTAGGTAGGAACAGGCAGAAAACCAGAAAATCCTGAAAATGGGGGTTCACCATATCTTTATGCTTGTGCAACTTTGACTTCCTGGTTTTGTGTTTTGTTTTTTTTTCTTAAAGCAGTAGAATGAAAGGAAATAAAGGGAAGGGCTTTAGAAGTGGTTAAAGGGGGGAATAGTTTTCATGCAGGGATTGACTAAATTATCTCTTTTTTGGGGGGGGGCGGCGGTATCCAAGCTTCTTCAGCTTTAAGGGGTAGAGGGATCTGATTAAATATTTGTAAAATTGTAAATGCTGTGGAAGAATTTGAATAGGAGAAGGTAGTTTCTCACAGTGTTATTTAGTGCTGCCTAGGTTTTTTGTACTGCTGTGTAGCAGGCTCAAAACAAAGGGCAGTGTTTTTTCACATGAAGTGAATCCATCACCACACTGCAGAGTACATATGCAATTAGCATTGGTCTTTAGTGAAAAACTGACACTTCAGTAAAATTGAGCCTTACAGGCAATGCTACATATAAATACCAGAAATCATATCTCTATATATTTCATTTGTAAAGCCATTCTTATGGATACATATTCATGAGATTAAATCTTCTTGTAATACATACATAAATACATACATCCCAGTAATTTGAAGTTGATGCATACAGTCATTTACATAAAAGTATTACTTTTGGGCGTAGGTCTGAATTGGGAGCTTTAACAACAGGTGATCACTACATGCTTCAAAGAGTTCTGTATAGATATTAATGTAGTACCATTTTTGAAAATATCTCTGTCTAAGTTCCTATACTGATTAAGTTATTATTCAGCTGGTGCTACAGAACATTGCCCATGCTTGCTGACATTTAAGTATTCTATACTTAAGTACCAAGGCATGGACACTGAATTAAAGATATCCCAACAATAAAAGTGGCTTGTGGTGTCTGCAGAATTTCGTGGTGGTATTAAATCTTTTGATTTTAATTCCTCACATACAAAACTTTTTCATGCTGAATGATAGGTAGAAAAATGAAGGATTGCATCTCCTCAGGTGCCATGAATATTTTATCCTTCTCTTTTCTGTGTTTCTGGTCTCTTCACTCTTACCTTTCTGGCTTAATGATCCAATCTTGAGTTGTTTAGTTTGAAAACATTGGGCTGTCTTCAGACCCTGGATGGGTTAGGCTATGCGTTCTCTAAGGTTTTCATTCAGATTCATTACTGTCATCTCTTCAGGGATGTGAAATGTCCCTTTGGAGATCAAGTGTCACTGCCTGCACTTGACTAAACTACTAGTGAACCATTGAAAATGGAACAAAGTCACCCTGTGTTGTCTCAGCAAGTAGGAAGTACTCAGTGTACAACTTTCCAATGTACTGAACTCCGTTACTTAATGTAAATCATGATTATTGCCACTTATATCTTTGCATTGATGCATGCAGTTCACTGCTGGTCTTGATTAAGACCATGCATAAAGGTGGCTGTTTCTAGGTCATGATGTGTTTGGGATGGCTGAATGTTGGGGGCATAAGGGGGTAAATGCTGTTAGATACACGATTGTCTAGAACTAACAACAAGTTTTATTTCTCTGCAGATCACGTTTAGGCTGCCAAATCTGCTTGAAGAAATCAATGGATGATATGACTGTTCGAGTACCAGAAGCTGTTGCTGATGCTAGACAATCAGTAGATATGAGTAAAAACTCCTAAAAGGAAATATCTTAGGGGTTTTAAAAAAGCTTAATTATTTTTATAACTTATTTTTAAATGTGTAATTGAATATGGAAACTTACATAATTGTGAGTTATTTTATATGACTATCAATATTAGAGTAATGCTATTTTAATTTTCTTTATAGAACCTCCTATATTTTTACGCTTAAAATGCAATAATACTTCTTATAACTGATACTGGATTATAAACATTAGCAAGTGTATTACAGATTTCATATAACATTATTCTGCCAAAACCTTTAATGACATTTGAAAACTAGATCACTTTTACAAGACTTCACCTAAAAATCCCTGAGCATTTCTAGATTTCAGACCTGGATATGTTAGCAAACAAAACTTCTAAGATTGCATGGGGTCTTTTTAAAGTGTTGTCATTAAAGATGTTGTGCTCAGAACTAAGTCGCTTTCTCAGAAAATATGATACTTCCTCAGAAAATAGTGGACTTTAAGGGTAGGGATTTTCCAAACTTTGGAATCTTAATGAGATGTGGCAAATTTTGTCTTGCAAAAATACTGTTACAACCATGAAATCTAGGGGCTGATACAGAATGTTGGCACCTGCAGCTTAATTGCCGCAGTGCATCTCTGTTGACCAAATAGAAGTCAATAAACCTCAGTTAACTATATTTATGTTTGATGACACCACAAATACGGGGATACACATGGCTTAAAGAGTAAAGCCTTGGAGCTGTCTAATGGGAGCGTGTATGCACTGGAGGTAACTGTGAATTCTTGCTGTTATCTGAAGATGTCTGAGTTGGGATTGAAGAGGCCAATGTTTGTCGACATTAGATTTGTTCTGAAATCTTTATTTCTTACTTTTTCAGTTTTGAGCTTGTTGGGGAGGCAGTCTGATGTTAGCTAGGGCATTCAGCTTGAGGAGAATCCTGGATTTTGCGCCTTGCTCCCAGGATCATTTCGATAAAGGTTGATGTGAAATGACCAAGTGTATTTAATGCATAAAGATGCACTAGGTTCCCCAGAAGGGGTAGGGAGACCCCCATGGTGGGAGAGTGTGTGGACTGATGATGAAAAGCTTTCAGTTGGATCTTGGTTTAGTCTTTCTGAAGTAGACCAAAATAAAGTGATGTCTCCAAGACTCTATTATTCTCTCCAGTTTTTGTTGCCTAAATAATTACATGAAATGGCTGTCACTAATACAATAGTTGTTACCACTATAAGGTTATTTTAAATTTTGGGGCTTATTTTTATGTATAAACCTGTTTATTTACATTTGAATGATTTAATGCATTCATTAATGCCTTATTTGAACTGGTGACAATGACATCTAGACATTTTACATTATTATATTTATAGGAGAGGAAAAAAAAATTATTTTTCCAGTGTCAAATATTGGGATTACTTTGAGCTTCAGGAAAGGGGAAAAAAAGTCCCTCTTTGTTATAAAAAGAAGTATTTTTAGAACTCCATTGAAAATAGATCTAGGTCAGTTTCCTTGATTTTTCTCTCTGAGTAACTATTTCTTTATTTCATGGTGTTCCCTTTGGACTTTCCACTAGAACAAGGTATGCTTAATGTGGTCTGCTCAGATAATTTAATCATATAGCGTTTTCAAAATACACTTCCTATCTCATCTAATTCAAAATACGACTTCAGAGTTGAAATTTCCTGGCTTTTTGAAAGACAGAGAGCAAGGTTAGGGAGGAGAATGGAAATAAATTGAAGACATATTCTGAAGATACTGCTGTCTTCCTCTTCTGCTGCTGTGACTCTAACCGTAATTTAGGGATTACTTTCCCGTAATTGGGCGTTAAGGTAAATCAGTTCTCACTTTGTATTGCCTTTGTCCCGAGTTCAGTTAGATACAGTAATTATTGTTAAATCTTGAACTTTTATTTTTTACATGAGACACAGCTCTTTAGCTTCCAAGAGAGGGAACTCAGGTCATAACCAGATGTACTGTGCATTCTTGCGTAGGAAAGTCGTCTGAGATTTCAGTACATATGTGGGGTTTGGGGGTAGATGTTGGTGTTTGTTGGGTTTTGGTGTTTTGTTTTTTACTTACAGTACCAGGCACTTCTTGTGGGAATCTTGAAACACTCGACGCTGTTAAACAAATGTGAAACAGCTCTCCTGTGACAGTTTTCTTTCTAAGCCAAGGTTGTTTTCTTGTGCATTTCCTGTGACAGCTTCTTGTTACAAAGACTTAGACTCTCCCATAGTGTGTCTGTGGAAGGAATTATTTAGCACAGTGAGGCAAAGAAGGACGCTTCAAAGTTCATTTTGAGTTCTACAGGTACCCCATGTTGCATGCAAATGGAAATCTCAGAAGGCAAAGGAACTGACATGTAATCCCCAAAATGCACAGCTCAGATATACTTGTCTTCTTATTGACAAAAGGATTTGCAAATAAATCTTATTTTATACCACTTTCTGACACACCTTGTTTGTATTGATTTTTCGTTCCTCTTTCTCCAAGTCATGGAATGTGTTTCTGGGTGTAAAATGGAACTTAAGTTAGTGATGCACATTCAAGTGTAAGTATGAATTATTGTGCAATGACACAATTAAAGCATCAAGCTAGGTACATAAATATTTGTTTACTTCTTTGTCCAAAGAAAGTCACAGGTAACTCATTTTTCTAAAGGCATTTCCTTTCTCTGTCAAAACATGGAGTGAGTGGGTCTCTTCTGGCTCTCCCCTCAAAAATGAGGTGGAAATCAGGATTGACCTTCAGTGCTGTTCTTGTTAGTGTTTGGTGTGATGTCTGAAGGGATAGGAAGGTGTCTCGCACTCCCAGTGTCGCTACATCTCGTCCTGCTGGGGGAAGTTTCCATCATCTGGAGTGTAGGCTGTCACTGGGGAGAGGAAAAGGCATGGCCTCCAGGCTGTTTGTTACTTCTCTGCCAGAAAAACTCCTAAGTCTGAAGCTCACAGCTTCTGGCTGCAAGGCTCCTTTTAAGATTTAAGGCAGATGTGTCCAGGCTTACTTGGATGGGGATGTGAAAAGGCAATGTCCAAAAAAGCAGGAGTGAAAGTGGCAGTGCTTCTCTTGCTCACTGTTCCAGGTATGGAGAAGTTTCCCTGCAAGCTGACATTGTTTTGGCCTCATAGAGGACAATGTGGTATACAAGGATAGGGTAGACCGAAAAAAATGCTTATTTCTTGGGAGGGAAAAGAAGTAAATCTTGGAAAAAGAGATGCTCAAGCTGAATTGCTGAGGTAACTGGTAGTAGAAAATGCTGGAAAGATGCTGCATCTGTTGTAGGAGACTCAATGATTTCTCCTCAAATGATGTGAAAAGATGTGACTGGGAATGGGGATTTCCTGCGTTGTGGAGGGGGGGCTGTTGTCTTTGTGGGTGGCCGTGTAGGTCTACGTTTAGCTGGGGGCTGTAGTGCCTTGGTGCTCTTTCTTTTTGTGTTGTGCTGCCAGGAGAGCAGCAAGAAGCGTGGTCCGTACCTCAAACAACAGGCATTAAAAGCAGTCCTGAGATTTACTTTCCAATCTCCTGTCCACCTCTTCCTTTTTTATGAAGTTAAATGTTTGGGTTTGTTTTTTTTTTTTATGTGAACTGGTCCACATTAAAAAGGTCTTGTTAAAAGCAATTTCTGGCCAGCAGTGATTTAGCATTTGCAACTGGGGCAAACCCTTCATCTAATGCCACGGCCCTGTTGTGCACAGAGGAGTATCTCTGGTGTCCCCCTCCATGGGTCTGGAAGCTGGAAGCTCCCTTGACCTCAGAGGCTCAGCAGAAATGTTATTTTGAGCGCAGTCTAACACTACTTGTGTGCTTCCGTGAGCGGCATCCTCTCAGTCCAGCCAGCGTAATCGTCCTTGTGCCGAACCCTTTCCACAGCACAATGCCTTCTTCCCCCAATGGGCAGGAGGGTGCATCTCCTGCATCTGCTAGAGATGAGAAAGGATGAAAAGGGTTTGGGACAGACTTGGTCCAACCAAGTCTTATGCCCGACTTATGTCCACTCAGGTACAGCAGAGCTTTCATCTTCTAATTTCTGGCTCTTTTAGAGTATGTCTGTGCTACAAGACAGAATATGGTCTGAAATTCTCTGAGCTGGTGCAGGTTTACCAGATGGTGAATCCCTGCAGCACAGTACTAGTAGGGATTAAAACTGGGGTGTGGAAACAGCACAGCAGGTTCAAGCAGCCGAGCACGTGAGCCCAGCTCGGCTCCAGCTTTGGATGGAGCTGGTTACTGTCTATAGCTATGAAAGAAATGCAGGTCCAGTGTTCCAGGGGAAAAGAGCTATTGCCAGATCAGGCCAGGCTCCCACTGCTCTGGGTGCCGGTGCTCAGCCGGCAGCAAGGCTGAGCATGAGGTCCCATGGACAAGCAGATGCATGGGCACACGTGTATCAGCCATGGCTGTCAATGCAGATAGAGAACATGGACAGTCATCTGCCCTGAGCCTGTGCAGGCTCATGGGGAGCCTCTGCCATTGACTGTGGGGCTGGTGGCTGCCCATGACAGCCTCGGGAGCCACCCTGTCAGGGGCTCAGCAGGCTCTGGTGAGGTTATGGGGGTTCCCCTGCCTGTCATGGTGTCTCTGCTCCTTCATGTTTGCGGGGATGAGCTGTTGATCACATAACCTAACGCTATTCAATGAGGGGACATTTGTGCTCTTGGTTTTTCCAGTGCTGCAGCAGGCAACGGAGGACGTGTTACACATGAAAAGTGGTAATGACATGGGGCACTGGTGGGGAGTAAGTGACTGTTTCCAGACACTCCAGAGAAGTTTGTGGGCTCCTGTGGCAGCTGTGCCTGGGTTGCAGCTACGGCTGTGTCAGTTTTCTTCCCCTGTGGGCTTAAATCTCTGTGTTTGGAGAAGTTTGTCCTGCCTCACTGAAGGAGACGCCAGGCCATAGATGGTGTTTCTCCTCTGGGCTGTGTTTGATCAGAAATGGCTCTCCTTAATTGAGTTTTGGATCAAACAAATGTCCAGGTAAGTTGGGTGTTCTTACTCCATCCAAGTGCATCTGAGCAGGTTTCAGAGGCACGTTAGTGGCTCGTTCTCATTTTGCCCTTCCTCAAGTAGCAGCCCTGTTTTGCAGAAGTAAGCCAGCCCTCGCTTTTGATCTGGTGAAGGCTCACAGGCTTTACTGGTGATGGTTTGGAAGAAGA